ATTTGCACTATGAGACCTTCTTTATCAGTGGCAAAATATAGTAATAGGTAATAGGTTTTTACCCTTTCAACTGGTACATTTTGACTGCTTGTGCTGTGGTTATTGCAAACATGATGCCTTGTATAAAGGTGTCAGTTTTTGTAACAGTTGAAACGGTAAAAACCTATTATTACAACAAAACATGTGTTAAGATGTTAAAACACCAAACTGAAACCTTTTACAAGGAATCATGTCTGCATTAACCACAATACGTGTGGTCAGAATGCAATGTTGCCAGAAAGAAGTGGAAAACCTATTCTCATATTTTGGTACTGGCAAAGGAGGTCCCATGATGTAGTTGCTCACCCCGAGCTCTCATTACTCTGGTAGTGCATTGTCTTTGTGCTGTACGCCTTTTGGTGTCCTCTGGTCTAACACCGTTTTGAGACTAGGCTCAAAAGAAAGCTGTCTATGGTGTGGACCAATCAGTTTCAAATACAATGCATACATTATCAGAGCATGTTTTTTTTTGCATGTTCACCACAAGTACGTGTGGTTAATGCAGACATGATTCCTTGTTTTAACATCTTAACACCTGTTTCATTGCCAGAAAGGGTCAAGCCTACTGTGATAGTTGCAGTCTGTTCTCCGATAACGCGGCCGTTGCGTTCCTGAACAACACCGCGTTATGGGAAAGTCGCCTTCTCATCAATGACGTAGGGTGAAGCAGAGTTCGCGATAACACCTGAGATGCGCACGCAGGCAGAACGAGTGACTGAGGCGCGTTGGTAGCATCTAGAAGCATCCAGCAGCATCCCGCTGCTATGCCGAGGCAGAAGTACGACCACTTATTTCAACTCACGCGACGTAGTTATGTTCGCTCTGTCGCGTTATATCCCATTGGCATCCGCGTTATAAAAAATGTGTACCCTAATACATTCATATTCGCGTTATGAAAACACGCAGCGTTACAGGAGAACAGGCCGTATTGTACTAACTTCCCATGCACTGTGGAGGTCAAACAGGTTCAATCCCTATCAGCAACCCTGTAGGGGTGGCCTTATCTAAAGAGGGAGAGCCCACAACATCTCAGGTGTAAGCACGACACGGCCCATGTAAAAGGAGACGAACTTAAAACAAACAAACGTGAGTTGCTCGGCAGAACGAATAACGGTAAAATCCGCTTTAGATTATTGTGCATTTGTGCATTCTGCACGATAAACTGTTTTGGCTCCCACCCCATCCTGTGTGTGCGGGTGGCGAGATGTTAACTGCCTAGCCTGGTATGCAGGAGGTGCAATGGGTTCGATCCCTCAATGCGTGTATACAAAAGGTTGGTTTCTTATATGCCCCTAGAATTAGTTTCACTTGATTTGAGGTTTTCACAGACTTGATTTGAAAACATCAACTTTATTCCGGTAACTTTGTTTAGTGTTTCAACTTTATTTACACACACACACATAGTCATACCTGAATAAAGTTAAAAAACCTTACTCAGAAGTAGTTCTGTGATATCAACTTCCGCAGGCCATTCTGTAACACAGAGGGTGATGCACCACCGTGGGAGAGAGTTCCGGATGGACGCATCATCTCAAGACACGACTGATAGCAAAAACAAAAACCACGTCTTTGTATTGCTGGACAAATACAGCTTTGGACAATGACCCCGTGTCCACGTGCTCTAAAGAAGACCCTATCAGTCGTCGAGTGCTTGAAATGTTTGTTGGGCAAGCAACGCACAAAGCACATACCGGAATCAAAACCGTCACTGACCCTCCTTTGATCCTATTTCTAAATAAGCAGCTCCTCCCTCGGCCAAGCAGTCCTTAACGACAAACAACAGAGGGAGCACTGCGTCTGTTGCAGTGGACTGAAACGAGGCAGTTTAATGCCAAGTTTGCATGGCTTTGGGCGTGTCTGCGTGGCTCGGCGTTCATAATGGGGAATAATCTCGATTTTGTAAAGCGATTTTCATCTCGAAATATCTCAAAGCGCTGTATGTACGAAAAAAATAATAATTCTACACTCATAAGTACAGACGCAATCTAAGCGAAATACAAAGTTGATAATAAGACTATCAATGACAGCTTCACTCGAAATGCAAAAAAATGCAGAACTACGATACAAACGAACGATAATAATTGCACAGCAATCCAATCAGATGACAGGAAAAGCCAATTAACAAATCTTAAGTTACGGGCAAAGCCTGCAGTGCAATTAGGCGAGTTTTTAGACGTGATTTAAAAAGCCAAAACACACTCAGAATCCAAATGGACCGAGAAAAGGGGATTCCACAATCGTGGAGGCTGACTGCGGACGGATCTAATGAATGACTGCACCAGCACGATATTGACAAGCACCCAAAGTTCCTGGGTTCCAAACTGGATTTCAGCCCACCCGTGTTTTTTGCGTGTAAGCGAGTTTATATTGCTGCGGCCCGTTCACCCGTGGTCAGGCTTTTGAAACAATGGTGCGGATTTCTTAAACGGCCAGCCCCCACCCCACCCCGCGTCTGTGTATCGAGCAGTCCGAGTTGGTAGCACAGAAGTTAGTCGGCAGGTCACGTGTGGTGGGGGAAATCGTGGGCACTCCCCTCACTGCCAGCATGGCAATCGTTGACCAAAACAACCCTCTCATTAAGGGGCTTTCTAGAGCTCGCCTACAGGTGCAGACCCTTCCATCCAGCAGTGGAATGGCATTGGAAACCCTCGGACTCTCGATCTCTCTCTTCTACCAATCTGGCAACGGTGTCACGACCGAATCATGGTAGGGCGTCACCTTTGCCATTTGATAATTAATGGACCCAGGCAGGTTTTTCAGATTCAGTTTCATTTATTTGGTATAGCCATGTGAGCCATTCGGCTCTTGAATCGGATGCAACCGCAACAAACAGAAAACAAAAACATGAAACAAAAACATGAACAAGAAAATATCTTGAAGTGACTAACGGATGCGCCAGTTCAGTGATTAAAATCGAAATCGATCGCTAACATTCATGATGAGCGCATCCAATGCCGTGTGTATGTGAGAATAGATCACGGTTAAAATGTTTACATGTCACGTGTGGTCGGTTCACCGGAGCCGCTGTAGTTCGCTACAACGTTTAAAATGAAAATAGATTCTTGAATCGGAAATTGTTGCATGGGTAATAATGATTGTACACATTTCTCATTTGAACTTGCCTCAGGGTGCATCGAGTATACTTTATAAGTGGTTAAACTTACGTTTTTTCCCAGTGCTTTATAACTGTAATTAGTTTAATAAACCCCGTAAAGGCCTTCAGCTGAAGCATAACACCATTCGGTTGCCACATGGGAAATATGTTAATGCTGCAATGTCTTTTAGCGTGACAGAGTTCACTGGATGCAAGCATTGACTTTCTGTCACATGGAACCCTAATGGTATATAATGAGGCCCTCACCGTGTTAGATCACGGAATTTGCAATCCCGATGTTCGCCGATTTAGATTGTTCTGTTTAAGCACGGCAGTTGAACAGTGGGCAAAACACATTCCTGCGGAGGGAGCTGGTAGGAGCGTTGGGTTGCTCGGTCAATGGTCAGGGTCAACGGCGGCGTGGTGTATTCAGCAAATATACCCGACTGTGAGGGCGGGCACAAGCCGGCGTGAGTAGGTTAAACGTTGAGTTTTATAAGGGCACCACGGGGTGACCAGCCCCTCCCCACCCAGCCCCACCCCTCCCACCCCCCACCCAGCCCCACCGTCCCCACCCAGCCCCTCCCCGCCCAGCCCCTCCCCACCCTCACCACCCAGCCCCTCCCCACCCTCCCCTCCCCACCCAGCCCCACCCTCCCCACCCAGCCCAATCACTCCCCACCCAGCCCCTCCCTCCCCACCCAGCCCCTCCCTGCACGACGGACGGACGGACACAATAATCCCCTGTGGGCTGGTGTGACCAGAAGGTTCCTACCAGTAATATATTCAATCCTTCCCTTTCCCCTCTGTCTACCCAGCGGTCTAAATTTTGACTGCCGGGGTTAAAGTGTAGGTACTACTGGAGCTTCAGTATAGGTACTCCCACCTGTTCCAAGATGGCTGACCACTGTGGAAGAGTAGGCCAAATACAGTTTTTTTTAAATATGCGGGTTCGGTTTGTGCGATTTTGAGAATATTCAGCTAATCTATTTCTACCCAGAATTCTCTATATTATGCGGTTTGAATTCACTCACGTGCGGCTATGCGGCCGGACGTGGGACAGCGTTGTTTGTGTGTTGCCGTCGTGTGTGCACTGTGAGCGCTACTCGGCAGGCACCTGTCGCGTGCGGTTTCCCTTTGTGCGCACCTTTTTTTTTGGGATGCATCGACTACCGCGTTCTCTAGAGAAACACACACACACTCCGCAGGCGGTGGCGTGAGCAATACATATCAAGGCTGCACCTTTACCGTTAATCTCACGGTAGAGTGACCTCGTCTCATCTTCCGAACGTGACGCTCCTTCACACTGCCGGCTCCGGTAATTACAAAAGGACATTTCTGCATCTCATGCCCAGGCATAGGAATTAGAGCATATCGAGTGCTTAACCAGCCGTGACAATAACTCCTGTGTAATTTCCCAACGGTGAGTTTTTATTTCGTAATTTTTTTCTAATCCAAAGGCCGATAGGTGAAGTATTAGAATGGACACCCAGAGCTCAGCATTGAGAGGGAAGACCTCAAGCGAGAAGATGCTATGCTGAGCGGTAAGCCTGTAACGATTGGTTCTACTCTCCATTCAATTGTCTCGAATGAGGGTTGCGATTTAATGTGATGAATGTCGTGGACTCCAATGCCAGCTGGGGTCACATGAACCCAACTGCATTGGTTTTCGTGGTCGCGCTGTACAATTCTCCAATGTTTCAATTTCATTTTTTGCGGGATGTAATGCAAGCTTTCTGCGTGCAAATTCACGGCGAGCCTTTCAGACTCGGCAAAATTCGTTACCGTGACCCCGGCAATACCACGTGACCCACCTATTTGTCCAACGACAACAGCGACAACAACAGCAGCAACTGACGCGCAGTCTTCAGCGTCCGCCGTTTGCGCAGGCGGCACAAACACCGGCTGCCCGCGCCGTTAACGAGGCCGAGCAGACACCGGCCACAAGGCCACGAACGCCTGCAACTAGGCAGCAAACGCGCCACCGCCCGGCGAACTCACCGCCCGTGCGAGAGTCGGAGGGTTCCGGTTTGAGGGAAGCGAGCAGAAGGTTGGGGGGGGGGGGGGTGGGGGGGCGCGTGGACATCGACGGCGTTGCATCGTGATGATCTGCCACCGTTGAATGTTTACGGATCGCGAGCCGGCGAGTTGGCGAGGCTTGCGGCAGGCGGCACGGGGCCATTGGGAGGTCGTGGGGTTCCTGGGCTGCCCGTCACCGAGCTCATGGTCTGCCGTGTCAAATGGCTCTGTGCGTTCATCGGCAAGGCAGTCAGGCGAGGTATTGGGCACGCGGACAAAATATAATGATCTAGCAGAATACGAATTGTACTGCACGGTGATTAAAAAAAAAATGTCAAGCGTGAATTGTAATTTAACACATCATATGAGAATAATTAGGTCAGGTTTTAGTTGTGGTTTGAATGCATAGGAGTCTGCAGTTGTAAATGAGTGCACAACACATTCGAATTTATGGTATTAAAATTGAGGATGTCTGGAGGTTAAGGACCAGTAAAGGGACACGCACGGATTCTGCGGGGAGTTGGACACATGTAGAGATGGCGTACGTGTCCAAAAAAAACCTCTTAAAATGTGTGCATTAGCTCTGAAGACACCATCAGTTGGATTCTAAATGACGCAGCATCAAGGATTTTAATCAGCATTCTCCGCAGTGCCTATTCTGTGCTCATTAGTGGCGAAAAAGGAGAAGAGAGTGGAGGGACAGTACTGGCACTTGACATGCAATTATGGTCACAAGGTGCCACAGGAAATGTTGGACGACGCCATAATAACGCAGCAGGGACACGCCGTGGTGGAAAGGAGATGTCTATCTCCCTCGCCTCGTGCACAAGAGGTCGTGGGTTCGATCCCCGACGCTGACGATGCCTCGTATTTTTGGAGATTGCGTGTTCGCTCACCCCCCCCCCCCCCCTCGTGCCGGTCACGTGGATTTTTCTCTGGATCCCGACGGTTTTGCCCCTCCACATTTATACTATTTTGCTGCTTGTATAAATTCCCTACGTGATGATGATGATGATATCAGCCACTTCGATTAGCTGTCATGTGTGGCCAGGTCACCTCTGAAAGAAGAGGGCATAGCCAAGTGGGCTCTACCTGGTGAATACAATTATCCCCGCTCAGGGCAGGTGTCACGTTTGTGGCGCTTGACTCGTAATTGCAATTTTCCGAGTTCAAATTCCAGTTCACGAACGAGTCCTCCTCGTGTGCTGTGCGTCAATAACACCGGGACCACAATGTGACAACTCAACAGAAATTGAGCTAATTGTTGACGTGGCCTCGCTGTAAAGGGGCGGTAAAGGAGCAGCCCTGCAATTGTTTGCTCACGTCACTGCTGCCCGATGGGTCTCCACTAGGAGGCGCGCTAGTAAAACCCTCTAAAGCGTATTTGGTCGACTATTACAGACTTAGCCAGACGTCTCGGACGAGACGGGAGTGCCCACACCTTAACCCAGCACACATGACCCGCCGACTGACGAACTGTCCACCCGGCATTGACATTGCAGCATAGACTGAGGCTGCGGATTTTACTGGTAGGAACCACCTGGTTTCACCAGCCCACAGGGGATTATTGTGTCCGTCCGTCTGTCGTGAATCCAAAAATGGGAGGGGTGGGGCTGGGTGGAGAGGGGAGGGTGGGGAGGGGCTGGGTGGGGAAGGGAGGGTGGGTGGGGCTGGGTGGGGGGTGGGTGGGAGGGGTGGGGCTGGGTGGGGGGTGGGAGGAGTGGGCTGGGTGGGGAGGGGCTGGTCACCCCGTGGTGCACTTATAAAACTCAACGTTTAACCTACTCACGTGGGCTTGGGCCCGCCCTCACAGTCGGCCATAGTTGCGGAATACACTACGCCGCCGTTGACCCTGGCCATTGACCGAGCAACCCAACGTTCCTACCAGCTCCCTCCGCAGGAATGTGTTAAGTAGCTAAAAGGGCAAGTGTGCGGTGAGGTAAAGTATGGCTACTCCCACATCTCCCGAGAGTTTTCCACGATGGCTGAACAAGCAACGGCAGGGACGGCACCTTAGGGGCCGTCCATAAATGACGTCACGCGATTTTTACCCCAACCCCCCCCTCGTCACACGGCGTCACAAAAAGTCAGACCCCCCCCCCCTCAAATATGACGTCACAAAGCTCTGCCCCCCCCCCCCCAAAAAAAACCATATTTCCATTTTGAAAATAAAACATGCTTCAAATCGTTTAAAAACGATTGTCATTGTAGGTGCGTATTTAATGTGGCGCTGCCCTCTGATGTTGTAGGAGTGTCGTTATAACAATTAGTGTTATAACAATTCTATATCTATTTAAAGTTGCGCATTTTGATGCGACGTCACATTTCTCAAACACCCCCCCCCCTCCTCGTCACACATCGTCACAAATGTCTCACCCCCCCCCCCCCCCCCCAGGTGCGTGACGTCATTTATGGACGGCCCGTTAACCACACTTTCACTCGCGGTACTGAGACGGCACCCGGGTGGATTGCGCTTGACGTCACGACGGCCCCATGTGCCAACCGTGGCATTTGTCCGACGCTGATTGTGGGTTACTAATGGGAGCACACAGCACGCAGCCGCCAGTCGCTGTCCAACGCAGCCAACGGAGCAGCTGTCGGGGAGAGAGGACGAAGGGTAGGCGGGCAGACGCGCGATTGACCAAAGTAACCCCCCCCCCTGCACATTCGCTCCCCCCCCCCCCCCCGTGCAATGTCAGAAATTCCACACGCGTTGTTCTTTCTCGAATCTGTCGCTGCCAGGTTTTTTGTTATTTTTTATTCCCCTTCTACCCCCCCCCATCCTCAGCCTCCTACAACCAAGACGATGTAGTCAGCGGCACCGAGGCACCGGGAAGCAAGCGTCGGGAGAGAGGGAGAAGGGGCAGCTTGGCGGACAGGCCAGATGGAGGCTCTGCACGCGCGCCGCATGAACGAAACAGCGTCGCGAAACGAAACAGCGCTAACCGACCGCTCGCGTGTAGTGTAAAGCGGCCCCCGTAGAGTAATACAGAGTAAAAAATTAGAACGTTAAATATTACATCTTTTTTTTGGTTTCGCTTACATCGACTGCGTATTGCGTCTAGGTAAAGGCGCAGCCCTGCAATTGCTTGCTCACGTCTCCGCAGGCAGAATGTGTAAACAGTGCCTCTCGCGGGTATTTGGCCTATTCTTCCACATTGGCCAGACACCTTGTAAGCGGTGGGGGTACCCACCACACATTATCCGACCACACGTGACCTGTTGGTGTATATGTCTATGTGGACGGAAGCAATGGGGCGGGGGGGTGGTGGTGGTGGGATTTAGGAAACTTGCCCCGTTGTTTCAATTGCCGCAGCGGAAGATCGAACCGGTGACCTCTGTGTCGCGAGTCCAATCTGCTGACCGTTACACTAAACAAAATATAAACTAAGATGTTTTGTTGTTTATTTTACCAGGTCAGGCCCACTGAGCATTATAGCCATTTCTTAGAAGCGACGTGGATATCGCAAATGATAGCTCAACGAAGTGGCTCATCACGTGGACATTCATAGCAGCCAAATACTCTAAACGCGCGTTCATTCGAAATGTGCTGAGAAAACTGGAGGACCCGGAGAAAAATCCGCACGATCACGGTGAGAATATGCAAACTCCAAATATACAGGCATCATGGTCGGAGTCGGACCCAAGACCCTCTGTATACGAGGCGAGGTAGTTAACATCTCGCCGCCGTGGCACCCACCATCTCAGCGTGTGTCTCTTGCTTCTAGTGCGAGATTATTTACGGAGTCGTGGTCAGCAATTCGTACGAGCTGTGCGCCCAGTGACCCCAATTGTATGATATTGCTTTGTTGTGCTATTTTTTTTTAAGTGGCTTGGCATACTTGCCAAGCAAACAGTTTACAATTCACTCACCTATCTTATCTCCCAAACAGGATACACATGCACATTTAATGAGTCTCGCAAAGGGTAGTGGAAATCAGCGGACAGCGATTCAGGAACACAGCGTGCCCCGACGAATACTATTTAAGAAAACGAGGAAGAAAAATCACGCGCATTGCATGGATTCCGTAACACTTCCCAATGTGCGTTTGTCCTCGGCACTATTTGATGAGCGATAATAATAATAATAACGGTGGCAATCGCGCCAGGTTGTAAAGGAAACAGTCAGGATGTCGGCCGCGATAACAGGGAACGGTCAGGGGCTCTGCAGGAAAGGGCTTTGGGCAAAGTTTTGATCAACGTGGTCCCTTCTTCTATAGGCTAAGTCCCTTAAAACTAAAAATGTGAAAATACGTTTTGTTCATATCGGATCGTGTTTCCGTACGTATGTATGGTTGATTTTCTTTCCCACCGTGCTAATCGAAGGTGTTGGGAGAAGGTCAACAAACTAAACACAAAAAGCCGTTGTAAGGAAATGAGTTTTCAATGTAGATAAAAAAGTGCACAGCTCCAGAGGTTTCCTCGTGTCAGAAGGAAGAGCGTTCCAGACGGCCACAGAAGCACATCTGACAGCGCGCGAAGCGGTAACCGCCTTTGTTCCATGACTAGATTTAAAAGTACAATGCTCGAGTGGCTACCTCATGAGAGTTATTGTGCCCCGCTCCTGTTTTAGATGGGCAGATGGACGGACAGGTCTAACGCATTCACGCATGTCAACCTTTATTTTTTAAAGCACTACAGACGCACGTGATTAAAACCGCATTCCGTTTATATGGCCGCTGCCTCACACAACTGCATTACATTCATCACTTCTTCCACCATCACGTCAAAGGCATGAGCAAGTATACATTTGTGGGACCCCGGTCCGTTTTGTTTGTGTGTCGGTGCGTCTGGGGGTGGCGGGGGGCAGGGTGTCGCAATGGCGAGATGTTAACTACCTCGCCTGGTGTACAGGAGGTCGTAGGTTCGATCCCGACCCTGACGCCTGAATATTTCGAGTTTGTATATATGTCTCTCTCTCCCCGTGGTCGCGTGGATTTCTCTCTGGGGTCATCCGGTTTTTTCTCTCCACATATAGAAACAGGCGTTTAGAGTATCTGGCTGCTATAAATATCCACGTGATAAGCCACTTCGTTGATCTATCATTTGTGGCCGGGTTGCTTGTGAAAAAAGATGTATAACTCAGTGGGTTTTACCTGCTAAAAATAAATATTCTGTGCCTCTGTATGCCTGTGTATCTCCCCCCTCCCTCCTCCTCTTGGTGGTTTATCCGTCCACATTGCTTAAACCATTTGACAAGTCTGTGCAGGAAATTGCAGGATTAGTCCGAAGAGCCTTCAAAGGACAAGGACAGGGCTTTGTCGGATTCAGGAAGCTTTCAGGTCAGTCACAACCATGGGCTACTTGCAGAGCAAAAACAAAAACGATCATCGCTAAGGATGAACGGATAGCCTTGTTTTGTTAATATAATTACAGATGATTTCAAGAAAATTTAAAATTGCACATTCATAAAATAAAGTAGTCTTGTTTTTTTTTATTCCAGAATAGGCTTCACGATAAAGCTGCCATTAATTAAGAATTCACACACAAATCCCACCCTAGCTAAGCCGCTTAATAATAATAATAACGCTCAGACTTAAACCTTATCGTGAAGGATGCACATAAATATCCTGGGTGTGGATTTTTTGGTTATATCAAAAATTGGCTTGCATTAAAATGCATTTGGAAGAATTGCCATGGAAAGCAATGTCCAGGTCAACACTTGTGAGTGCATAGAGAAAATGCATAGCATTACCCCAAAAAAACTTTATTATGAAAAATATTCAATATATGTACGTCTTTGATGTAGTTTTTACTGCCTATGCCAATCTCTGCTTATGCGATTTGGTTATATTTATAGAGCGAACATTGCATCTGGGTGTTTGTGTGTCCACCAATAGCTTCGAGTCAGTTAACCCGTAACACGAAGGCCTGACCTGTGATTTCCTGCCAGAAAACCTTTGACACTTCAAATGGGCTAAAAGTGTACATCGCCATGCACAAGTGCCGTGGGGACATCACCGCCACTTAGATGCGAATAGTAGGTGTGTGTGTGTTAAGAAACCACGAGTCTGCCACTTACACCCAGCTGATTAACCTTTGCAACATCACCTTGTCTGTACATAATGTGAGGTTTGCATGTTGTCCACGTGGTCGCGTGTATTTTTTCTCCGGTTTCTCTGGTTTTTCCCTCCACATTTAGAAACATGCGTTTAAACTGTTTCGATCATTTTGCTTGCGATAAATGTCTAAATGATAAGCCACTTTGTTGAGCTATCATTTGTGGCCAGATCACTTTTCAAAATTAAGTTAATCCCTCGGTGGGCTTTGTATGGTAGGATGGGGATGATTTCGTTTAATTGGTATGTGTTTGGATGATTTCTTTACCTTTCTTGCACTTTTCACTACTATCGTATTTTTGTACTGTTTATTGTTGGGACGTTCTTACCCGGCCCTACTGGACATCTGTGAAGAAGCGCTTTAATGCTCATCGGATTCCTCCTGGATAAATACAGACTCTGTACGAAGCTTGGTAGAAACGCAAAGGCAATGTCCCGACCACATAGTTGTGGTGAACAGGAGCTGTTGATGTTCTTGTACGTCTGTGCATTATTGTTGTAGAGTGGTGGCACAGTGGTTAGCACACTGTGCTTTTGATCCTGTGCAGCCTTTGAATCCTGGCCACGGCTGATGAGATAAATTGGTATCGGAACTTGTCCCTGGCTTTGCCGAGGTGAACTTGGCGGTAAGTGAATATCAGGTGCAGTGTACAAACATAGCAATGAGAAGACAAATGTGGTCAAGCATAGTTGTGGCCACACCACTCTATAATGAACCAAACCCATCTTGATGGTTGCTCGCTGACAGTGAGTCTAAGTAAGGCTACATCAGGGATATTTGCCGTAATATAATCGTGGCAGACTTTGTATGAAATCACAACATTGTTCTTCTTGGTTCTTTCGGTAAAGTCACGTAGAAGGGAAGTAATAAAATAATAAAAATAAAACATAATTATTTTATTATGTTTTATCATTATAATTATTTTATTATGTTTTATTTTTATTATTGTATTACTTCTCTTCTACGTGACTTTACCGAAAGAACCAAGAAGATGAATCCCTGCAGTCACGAAAGCTTTAAATCGAAATCACAACATTGTTGTCAATAACTCCGAATCCAATGCAGGTCGCGTGTTTTCTCAGCCTTCGTGATAATCACCATCATCATCATAATCATCAGCCATGGTCAATCCACTGCTGGATGAAGGCCTCCCCGAGTTGCCGTAGACTCTCACAGTCCTGCGAAGCAACAATCCACAGGGCGCCTGCACAGGAGCTGATCGGATGCGTTTCCATTCCTCGACTGACGTTCTGTTGCCGTTATTTATTCCGTTACACGTAAGTGCCGTCGCGACATTCACAAGGGGTAGATCGAGTTTTCTACATCCACTCAGGGACGCGGAATAAACCCCTCGTGGTTCTGCCCAGGGAGATAACACAAGTGGCAACTTTTTCACTTTTCAAACCATTGGCCATCATCCCTTCGAGCCGTGTGTTTAATAAAACTAATTTTGAGCGCGAGTCATGCTTACCGCATTATTCACTTAGAGTGCGATGCAAATTCATCCGAACCAGCTTTACCTGGGAATCAGAGCTACGGATCGTGTGAGAGGTGGTCTCAGAGGATCACTGATACTGGTGAACTGCCATATATTCCGCCAAGCAAGATAACTCGTCATATCCATGGCTAAAGTGGCACCTTGGAGAAATTGGAAATTGTCAACGTAAGCGAACAACAAAATTATGCATGGGTTACACGAAGACAAAGATCCCCCGCGTAGCCTTCACAGACTGTCGGGGCAAGTGCTGTTAGCGAGCACCTATGAAGGCCGGCACAGGAGGGGGTGGGTGGCCCAGCACCACTCCCGGCCGCCTTTGTCTCCCCAGTGGCGATGTTTGCACACTGTACCTGGTACTCATTTGAGGCTGAGTCGAACTAGGGGAGGCCCAGGACCGGTTCAGCTAATCGTCACTGTTGTTGGCCATGAGCGGGAATCGAACTCGGGTCGCCGGGTTACACGAACACATATAAACAAGCACAAGATGTAAACCCCTTCACATACATGTCCTTACCACGTTCAAAATAAAAGTACTTTCTACAAATTGCATCAGCCACATGGCCTTCTGGGAGTGCATGATTTCAGTAACATTGGTTCAACAGAAGTACTTCTGGGACTGATCTTGACATTGTGTCCCAACAGCAGTCGGGCACGCTCGAGGCAATGCTGGTGAGCTGCCAGCTGTTTACAGGCAAGGATAGTTTGACATAAAACATTATAAAGTTGTTACACATGTTAAATTATACT